TGGGAAAGAAGGTCAGAAGAAGCCGGGAATGTATTAGAGGTCCAAAATCTAGATGTACAAGCTAAGTACACTACAGTAGTCTCAATTATAATGGAGGGAGTGTTGGATGGCAATCAAAAACATAAGATATGAAGGTGCAACCACTACACAGGTGAACAAGTCAAGGAAATCAGCCGCATTTGCGATGAAGAGTGCAATCGATTAATCAGAAGAAAAGCAGCACTATTCAAGTTAAAAGAATTTCTTGCATGGGAAAATTTCCTATCCTACAAAACAGAGGAGGCTATGGCTAAAAGTAAACTAAGAAAGTTTAGAGAAATTTTGTAACTCACTCAACTGACACACAAGCCAATCTTACATTGGGGAGAAAATTAGCAAGCTTAAGACAACTATGTGCAATTATGGAATTCAACCAAATAAGTACAAAGAAGGGAATATTATAACAGTGGAACAAGGAATTGATAATTTTTGTCCTCCCTGGGTAGAAACTGAACTGCCAGTATTAGACAATGTAAATGGAGATCCCTTCTTGCATACTCCATTAGATATAGAACTGAACTCGGCACTAGACAGTGTGAAAGTGGAATCAAGCTTAGACCTAGATGGCACCAACTATAAAGTAATTAAATATTTACTCGAGAGAGCAGAAAAAGTTACTATGAGCCTTATATGATGAGTTTCTGCAGACTGGAGATTTCCCCAGTGGATGGAAACAATATGAAATTGTCTTCATAGCAAAAGTGGATGGGAAAAACGTTTGACCTATTTCACTGGCTCCTTGCTTAATGAAGATTCTTGAAAGAATAATAAACAGCGGACTAAGTTGGTAGCTAGAACACCATAAAAAGCTACCTGACCTACCGTCTGCACTACAGGAAAATAAATCCTACCTGGATAACCTGTCACTGTTACATTTGATATAGTAAATGCCTTTGATAACAAGAAAATAGTTTGAGCTGTTTTCCTACACATGAAAACAGCATACAATATACTGACAAATATCGTAGCTGAGAAACTAGCAGAAATGAATATCTGAAAGTTAATGCTAAAATTCAACTACGTTACTTATTCTGAACAGCTTCAGTGGTGCCAGGATTATTCTTGTAGACTTTCCCTTTAGGTTTGCCCAAAGATGAAAATTGCAAAAACTGAGTTCCAGGAGGCCACAGTCCCCTGCTGATTATTCTGTCTTCAAACACTTCCTGTACTGCGACCATGGTGCATTAGCTGTATTTGCTTTAGCGTTGTCTTGCTGAAAATACCCATATTGTCTTTCTTTAGAAGTCGGCTGATTCAAGAACAGATTCGGCACAAGTATATCATTAACCTAGCAGTCAGAGTTCACAGTTTCACGGAAAAATAAGATTTTCCGCAGACTTACAGCACACCATATCCCCACCTTTTCACTATGTAATGGCACTTGCTGTAGAGTGTAAGGATTTTCATCACTCCATGTTCTTACATTTTGTGCACTGACATGCCCACTAATGTGCAACCACACCTCATCAGTCATGAACAGAAGCTGTGGATCCACGATTCCATCGTGCACATTTTGAAGCAGTCAGTTGCAAAAACGAATTCTTGCTGCATAATCTGGTTGTTTCAGCTCGGGCACAACTCTTATTTTATACCGGTGAAATTTTATTAATTTTGTGGCTGTGAAAGCAAATCCTGGCAAAACACTGGTTTCCTGTGCTATGAATCTTAACAATTTTCAAGGACTGATCTGTAGTTGTGCCTCAATATCCCGAATCTCGTCTTCATTCAGTACAATCTTCTTCAATTGCTTCTTCATGTCACACACTGAACGTGTGGCCTGCCACTTTTTCACAAGCTTGGATACACATCACTTTGTGGGAACTGGTGAGTCAGGATATTCACGATGAACCTTATGGATACATTTTCTGTAAGTTTTCCCTTGGAAAAGTTTCAAGAATGAACACACACTGTGTTCATTTCAGTATAAATGTTGACCGCCTATCGACACCTCTAACAGACTGACTATTAATGCGACTTACTGAAGTGACAAGATCAGACCACCTGACAGCGTGTTTATCAGTGCTAATGACTCATTCTGCTATCGGCAGTTACAGCAGTCATCTGTGAGAAATGTTGTGCCTGCTCCATGCTGTTGCCAGGTTTCTTCAATCACTGAACACATTGTAGAAAGAATAGTGTAAAGCCATTAGACTAGCATTTGGATATATGAGGACAACACCCAAAAACCTTATGCCATAAAAAGCTAAAATACCTCCTATAACATTCTGATTAAAATCACTAGGCAACAATCATTTAACCAAAGCTCTTAGAAACCCTGACCATCCAGTTACATGATTATTGTAGCAAATGGCAAGGGTTCAAGTGTAGGGTCCTATGAAATTACTCAGAGGAAAGGTATCTTGGATCTAAACTTGCTACACAGACAAAGAATTAGTTGACCATTTGATAGCACAGGACATCAGACTTCTCGAATGTGGTTTTTCCCTATCAAACCGCTGGTTAAGAGAAGTGTTTCATTCAAGGAGGGTGAAGGAGTCATGGCCAATCCCAACAGCAGCAACAGACTCAATGAAAACATCAAAGACCTAGAAAAAGAGGCTATCTGCTATTTTACTGATGGCTCAAAAATGTGTAACCAGGAATCTGTGGGCTTCTCATATGTGACAGCACCTGGAGAAATTATGCATCAGTATCGGACTACAAAGCATGCTCAGTATTTACTGGAGAGAAAAGAACTGTCTTGAAAACTGCAGACATAATTAGTGAATCCCAAGGAGAATCATGTTCCATATGTTCTGACTCGAGAAATGTACTCATGTGCATTAACAAGAGATTGTTAACTAAACAACACTCAATATTAATCCTGTAAATAAAAGAAAAATTACTGGAATTGAAGAAACATAAAAAGGATATTAAATTTATATGAATCCCAGCACATATAGGTATTGTCTTCAATGAAAGAGTAGATGTGTCGGCAAGGTAGAATATTCAGAAAGGTGAAGACGCTCAATACTTGATTCCTGTCACAGAGAATCAGGAAAACAGATATGAAGGGAGTACTTTGAGTACTACTACCAAAAGAACAAAGAACTTGGTTCCAGAGACTCAATTTTCAAAGAAAATCTACTGCCTCTACAAGCCGCCCGCCGACATACAGCTGCCATGACTATTGCTCGAGATGAGTTCTTTATCTCATGCATCGGATACGGGAGTGGAACACACTTCGGGGTTCATGTATCCAGGGACTCCAGAACACACCGTGTATTGTGGTCTTAATTTAAAATTTCATACAGTAATCAATCTTTATATTATTCCTCCAAGCTAGCCGCTCCGTCACACTTAACCTTCCTACACCAATTTGACCCCAGCTCACTGACCATACATGCCACCCGCTAGCTACCCTCCTGTAACTCCCTTTTCCAACTGTCCACCTCTGCTCTCTGTAAAAAAATTAAAAAACAAGAAAATAAAAAGAGAAAGCCAAGAGTCGAGCCTGACATCTGTCATACATTTGTATTTTTCAAGATGCCCATAAACTTTTTAGGTCTTCAAGGCACACAAGCAGGGAACCCAAGACCCCTCCTGGCTGGTCTCACACAATGTCAGTTCATGGGTTTATGACACTAGGAGCAAACTGGCGACATTAGGGACAATAGTGACACCCTAAGCCTAAGGAAGACATAGTTGAATTACAACTAGACAGTCCCAGGATGGTATCTCGCCAGAGGTGTGTCTCTCAGGGTGTGAAACAATGCATAAATTTGTCATGCCCTTAATTAAATAATTTTGGTGATGGACGTACGGTTACAGTGAGTGGAAGCAGCAATCCAAGTAGCACAATACATCAACAGTATCAACAGAAGAACATAATTAGGTTAACACTATGATAAAAAAACCTGGGAACAATATATGCTAAGACTTCTGATGCTAAAACAGAATTAGTATACATTTAGTTTAAGTTAGTTAAAAGTTAAAGCTTTAATTTTCTACAAGGATAATTAAAGACTACTGTAAAATTGCAGTTGCCTGCAAGATGGGCTTTTCAGCCTAACACCACCTGTATCTACTCCTTTCCATAAATAAAATACCAACTGGTATAGTGCCCAGGAGACAAGCATTAAATTTTAAAACAGAGTAATTGTGATCTTTAGAAAGTACTTGTCAAGGGTAGCTATACTTTTGTTGTGATCCTGAAAGGACAACCAAAAATATAAAATCACAACGTTCATAAGTTGTCTAACATGCTGCAGAAAAGTAGACAACTGACAGATTATTTGGGTGAGCAGCCTTATAAAGGATGTAATGTGACATGAAGCCTGAGAGTTGGAATAGTGGAGTCCATTTCTAGCTCACAGTTCAGTAAACATGTTCCCATGGCAACAAACAAAATAAGGGGAAATGCTGGAAGTGGGGTGAGGTCTGTATCAAACGTGATGATTAAAGATGGCTAATGCTAGGTGGAATTTGCCTGCAAACCGAATTATCTCACTGCTCAGCGCAGTCTCTGTCAAAGAGGAGGCCCCATTTCAAAACATGCAAAGGGCTTGGAAAGAACAAAAATATGGTCATGGGTCCCAATATGCCCCGAAACCAAGAATTACTGTGTTGGCAAAGGCCAGTAGGAATTTATTCGACCCAATTAAACCCTACCCAGAACCACGATCAATGGGTCAGCAGATAGTCTGTTGCCAGTGAGGACCAGAGCCATAGAGAGAATCTCCATTAGTAGTAGCCTCTACCAAGCAGTCAATAGTGAAGAAATGGCAGCAGACAGAAGCCATAAATACTTTTATATTGTGTAGATAGTGAAAGTGTTATAACTATTTGTAGTTATGAGTAATACGCATTCACTACATTTAACAGTCCATCCAAACCTTGTGTCTAGTTATAACGTGTGACAATATTAAAAAGTATTACTTGGAGAGAGCAACTTGCAGGTATTACATGAGTAAAACTCAAATGTGATCTCTATCAATTATGAACTGATAAAACTTACTTACCCAATCTGCAGGTGCAAAGTTGACAGCTTCAGCAAAATTGTACCCTTGATTGAAACCAGCATGATAAGCCCTTGGGAAAGTTACTACGAATTCCCCAGCATGTTGATCTGTCCTGCAGACTGGAACACCTGCACAGAGAGTAACATATTCACCAGGGTACAGTCTTCTAGGCTGTGGCACCATGGCACCATACTGTCTGTTGTTAGGTAGCAATGTTTCCGAAGAACCTCCTGCTGTAATGATGATGGAGGCAGCAGGTACCTCTGAAGTTCTGCTGCATCGCCTACCAAACTACACTGCATCACATCAAAGAAGACTGTAATCTTAATATTCATTGCCATGAAAACCTTAAACATCACATAAGATATGTAGTCACCCATCATTATGTACAAATTTCACATCTTTAACACATTTCAGGGGGACCTGTAACTTCCATCTGACTTTCATGCCACTCTATTTCAATGCCACTAAAACAGCCATCATTCATGCAATTACTGCTTTCACCACTTCCTTTTTCCACTGAACCTGAAGCTGGATTTAGCTGCATTCAATCTTTGCAATGTTGCTCGAAACCAGAAAAATACACAGCGAACTCCGTTATCAGGCATGTATGGCGAATGGGGCTAGCTGGTTACATGAGAATAATTTTTAAAGAAAACTAGTACGAAGTCAAAACATGTTTTCACTTTAGTTTAGTTTAAGCCTTCCTAGGTCACAAATGTCAATGGCGTTAGAGCTGCAAGTGGTGTATGGGAGAATTACCAAGTGGCAGATGAACATGCATGCATCAAAAATTTATTTTTGAATGCCTTTGTGAAAATGGTAACCTTTCTTTGGAATTGCTGTTGCTTGGATAGGAATTCTGGATGCCTGAATAGCAGCTAACCAGAATTTTACTGTGGTACACTAAATGCCATCCACTGATATAGCACTAAAAGCAAGGAAAATATGGAGGGCAAATCAGATTATGCTCATATTTTATGCACTTCCTTATGAGTCAATCTAACCGATAAGGGTTGATAAGACACTAAACATTTCATTATTTAATATAAGAAATCAAATTGACTAGAAACCCTTCTTTCTCAGTTTTCATTATAATTCATAGTTGTTACACAAGTGGTCATAGCAATGCAAGAGTCTGAAATATAAACATAAGCAACCTTTTACAAAAGAGCGCATATTACATAAGTTATGCTAATGATGAAGAACAAAAATATTTACCCCAATTTCTTATATTTATGGTTCAATTATTTCATAAAAAGACAATTATACTTATTTGTTATTTCCAGAATATTGCTGGTACTCAGTACACACACAGGACAAAACTTCTGTCTCAGTATTTCATAATTTTAAAAACAAAATATATTTCTTCTCACCTCCTTGCATAAGTATATTTGGATTCATGATCGTAACAAGCTGATGAAGTAAATCAGGTTGTGACTGAAAAAGTTCTGGTGCTGCCATTTTCATTGATGTTTCGAAAGATTCCGCTTTGCTGCCAGGCACACCATACCACGTCTTTGGCTCACCCCTTAAATAAGAAAATATTTCACAATTAAAACTACCTGCAATCCTTATCAATCAAAAGCACTATACAACTAAATCAGGTTTAGCATTCCTGCATTTCATAAAAGCCCATATTTAACAAATATTTCTTCCAGTCCCAGACAAACCCCAGTAGAAACAACAGATCACAGTCCTGTATTTAATTAATTCTGTTTTACTAAATGAACCTACTTTAATAACAGAAAATTTCAGCCTTGCAGAACTTGTAGACTGATTGCCAGAAACTGCTACCAGGCAACCACAGTATTCAGCAAATGTGTCACATACGGAACAGGCATCAGTCACACTGCTTGTGGTATCACAGGTGCTTTTATTCTGAACTGAGGTTCTGTCAGCATTTATTTCTTAGCATTAATTATATCAGAAATTAATAAGATATCACTGTGTTATTGTTTGCAAGAAAGAGTTTATTTAACAAAATGGGCAAAGACATGACTTCATCATGATTATATACAATACATTCTATATGAAGATGAGGTGTTCCACAATGTAATTTCGCATAACCTCAATTTAGTAAAAATTTCAATTTGGCATAAGAAAAACTACTGCCTCGAGATCTGATTATATGCCTTCATAAATAAATATCTGTTTCTTCAATTTTGATGAAACACACAAACAGGCTGGAGCATGAAATGATGCCTGACCGAAAGTTGAAACAGAAACTCAAACATTCATATAATAATGCATATATATCTACAGACACCAAGAACAATATGGAGATTTATTCTGTACAGATTACACGCTCAACATAACCACTGTTCTGTTGAGTAACTTCCAACATGCAGATGGTTATATTGAACCATGCAACGGTTCTTCTCCGTTAAGTTCCTTGGAGTGGCCTCTCCAGACACCAGGATGCGAGCCGGTCCTTTCATCCCCGCTGATGTCCTTGGCCGATGTCAGAATCATGTGTCTCCCCCCCCCCCTCTCCTTAGCGTGATTGCGAGCCTTCGTGGTAAGTCAAGACAAGCGATCATTCTCTTCTTCCCTTACATATTCGTCTGGTAACATCGCTACGACTAAATTTGGTTTTGGAATAATTAAGTTGAGGATACTGAAATTTTGTTTTGGCACGTAGCACAGATCGAAGGGTGAGAAGCAGCCCTCACGAGCTAGTCGGGGCTGGCTGGTTCGTGAGGCAAACGTTTGAGTTTCTTGGGCCAAACTGCAAGTAAGTGACTTACTGGATTTGTGCACGCTGTAAGGCATACTGGCTTTGGTTGTATACGCCGTGTGGCGTGGTTTAGTTGATTTGTTGCACCGCAAGGCGTGGTGGAATTTTGGTTCTGGTTAGAGGTTGTAATAACCAGTAACAGCCCTTCAGGCGTGGTTCGCCTGTTTACTCAGGTTATCAATGTACTTCCTTGTGTTAGGAAAAGTTGATTGAGTACATGTGTACTGGATGTTTTTGGATATGCCATGAGGCATGGCCCAGTTGATCTGGTGCACCGCCAGGCGCAGTGTAATTCTGCTTCAGTCAGCCATTGTATGTAATAACCAGTAACTACCCCCCAGGCATGTTTTATTTGTATACTCAGGTTATTAATATATTTCCATGTTTTAGGAAAGTGAGTATATGTACACTGTGTCACCATATGTTCCATACTAGCTCCTGCCTAGTCAATCGCCCAGCTTGGCCCATCGTACTGACCTGGGTTTTCCTCTCTCGAGATCCCTTACCCAATCTTAGGTAGGCATACTGCACCACGCCAACAAGCAAGTCGTTTCTTATGAGCCTGTCCCTTACCTGTATAGACGGGGGACAGGGCTCAATATTCATGATCACATGACAGCATATATCCTCCACACTTTCCCCACAAAACTGAACAATCAAAGCCTTGAGTTGCACTACTGAGGCTGGTCATTTTGGAAACAGTTTTTCCTTAAAGTAACCCAAAAGAAGAAGCTTCAAACGACTATGACTGGGCTACTGGGTGACCACTTCTGTCCATATCTATGACAAGGGTACAAGTGGCAAATCACAAGTGGACTGAAAGTGTCCTGGAGCAAGTCCAAGATGTTTGCTGTGTGTGGTGTAGCACCATCCTGCATGAACCACTGCGTTATTTAATGGTGAAGCAGTCAGGATAAACTGAGGCACAGAACTATCAAGCCATACTGTAATTTTCAGTGCATGGTGTATTTTTTTAATGAGCATATGTGGATTAACCAAAGCCACAATTTGTACATGTGCCTCCTCTCTGTGCCATTCAAGTGAAAATGTACCTCATCTGAAAACCACACATCGTGCAATGTGACTTCCTCTGCTTTGCACATGCAATAAGCCCAGTCTCTGCAGCTTATCATGAGCAGTGAGTTCATATATCACTGTCATTCTGTGAAACTCATTATGCAAAATTAGCTGCACTGATCATCTGCATATTCTTAATCCTTCCAGAGCCTTCTGCAAATACCAAAACTGTCTGCATTCTGTGTTTAACTGCAAGTGTTCCCATGTTTGCAAACTTCTGCATACTGGAAGGAAACCATGAGCTAATCACCTGGCATTAGCTACAAGTGATGTATATGCACTTAATGGTACACCCCATGAACTACTTCAGTCACTAAGTGACAGAAAACTTCATGTGTAGAAATTCTGCTCTTTTATTGTTAAAACAAATAGGGTATCATTTCATACACCACCCTGTATGTCACACTAGAAACACAACCACCCCTTGGTAGCTGTATTAAAACAAGCCACCACTATGCACATAACATACAAATAAGAACACTGCATAGACAACTATATGCACAGCCATAACAGACAGAACATCCACCCCATGGCACCAAATGCAGAGCAACAGAATTTTAATGGATATATTTTAATGAATTTCTAAAGAATTTTGTTTCCACAAACAAATAATTTCAAAATTAACTTCAAAAATCAGCATCAAGTACAGATGTGAGATAATTAGCAGGACTGGCATATATCTGATGATGGTCACATATAGCTGAAACACATGCTGTAGTAACACAAAAGATATATATGACAGAAGAAAATGTTGCACTTAAGATGCCTCTATGTACAAAACTGCAAAAATGTATTTGCCTTAAATCTGTGCACCATGGCCACAACACTAGCTACTGTGCCTGACTTATTTCATGGTTTTCCTCAATTCTATCAGGGAATCATACAACACTGTGTTCCATAAGGGAACATGATTATTTCATGGCATTACATATCACTGCTAATGGCAGAGAAGAAAGCAGGCTAGTCAATTAATGGCATGTGACACAGCATTAATTCATCACAAACTTGACTACCACCACAAACTCCACAAAGAAAAAACAATATATTATTCAATTTGTTGGAGATCCAGTTTGAGGCTAGCTCTTTCTAACGGACCCAACAGAATAGGTGTTTTCCTTCACCTGAGGACTGAAACAGATCCAGTTTCCGAAACGTCGTATTTTTATTTGTTATCTTAAAAACCAGGACAATGGATAAAGTCCAAAAACCCAATATATCAGTGTGTTATACACCATCGTCAGAATCCTATAGTAACTACTTAGAGAAAACAATGCGACAGTCCAAGTGTTACTACATGGTATAAAGGTAGAAATTAGGGATATAAACTGATATGAATTATATATCATGAACATTCATATCAATATCAAATTATTTTATGCAGAATATATGTATAGAAGCAAATCAAAAGCAAAGAAATATTATAATTATCATTATCATACGTAAATTTAAAGTTTCCCAAAAGAAACAAAAAGAAGTAATGTGCTGATAACCTCACAGACTTAGTAATGTTAGACTCAAAAATTCTCTAGTAATTCGTAAGTTCTGAATGTACCAGCCCTTAAATCATGACTCATTCTTCTGTACACACTCCTACTCCCCCCATCCTACTGCCACTTCCAGTCTTGCCGTTATCATTACAAGGTATCAGTCAGACTGTAAGCTGGTAACACTACTTACCAATGAAGATAGTTTATAGAATAGCTCCAGTGATCTTCATTGTGCCAACAGAAGGTAGCAAAGCACATACCAACGTACATCCATGGCACTTTCATCCCTGAAATATCTGCATTAATATGACCCAAAACTGAACCTTCAAGGACAGGAAGATTGTTTAAATTCCAACCAGAATTTGCATATTCCTGAAATTAATATTATTATGTCACTTCTTTAAATGTAACAAATACCGTCAAAAAATGGATAAAAGTAACTGGGGAACCTTGGTTCCCTGGTTCAACATTGAAACATAATGAAATTGGGATTTGCACTGGAATAAATCTACTTTGTGCAGTTAGTGTTGGAACCTTATAAATACGAGTGAAATATGGTAATAAATGCGATGTATACGGTTAATTCAATTTCACTCTTTAGTGTATGATGCAATGCTATAGGCAAGTTGGCAGTGTACAACTACTAACAGCTTGTGCCGTTTTAATTTCCTGAGCTTTGTGTTTTCTGTAATTACACATGTATTCAACGTATAAGTTTTTGTGTGTTTCTTTATATTGACTCTATCGTTCGGCATTTAACTTTGTTCAATTGGGTACATTATTACAGTTGTCTTCTTCTAACCGCTTCCATTTCCTGTACGCTCTCATATATGCAGCAAGACTATTACCAGCAGACATCTTAAGTGCGTGACATCATATGCCACCAGCCTGCCTATAGCACCGTATCATACACTAAAGAGTGGAATTGAATTAACCATATACCTCGCATTTATTACCATATTTCACTTGTATTTATGAGGTTCCAGCACTAACTGCATAGAAAACATCATTTCCATGGTTCTTCCATTTCCTCTATTGTTCCGAGTTCATTCACTGATGTGATAACGTTAGATTGCGGTTGCCTAGAAATGTACCAATAACTGTTACAGATTTCGTTACCTACATTACAAATTCTGTTACTTACGTAACAAATTTTGTTACCAACAATTTCATTCCATTTCTACCCTTGTAAATTAACGTTTTCAATGTTGTATACATAACACTTCTTTTGATGTGACTTTCTCTTGATTAGGATTTTACACCTTTATTGTGAGAATTTACTATAAATGTTTCTATATTATATGTGACAGAATAAAAACATACAATTAAAATACTGCACACATACTTGGTCAACAGGATGCAAATCTGGGGTGGACTTGGTTGGAAAACCTGATCCATGATCCATAGTGTGTAAGTCTGCTCCATATTCTACTGTAACATCTTCATCAATAGAAGAAACAATTCGCCAGAACTCTCTTTCTACAAGTGGTGTGGGAACCAGCTGCAAATATTAACATGATAACAGTAATCCAAGAACTTAATATAAACCTCCATAAAGTTAGGCAAATGATACAAACTGATGTGTTAAATCTACAAAGTGAACACATTTCAAAGAAAATTAAAATCAGAATTTCACTACATATGCTAAGGATGGATTATAAATTTGTTACATAACATTAACAACATAAAATTTATAAAACTGTAAGTCTGTGCAACAGAAAAGTTGGCTTCATTAATTCTGCCCAAACTCCTAATTCAGTTTCTATGCTTACAAATCTTCAGTTCTGCCACAACATAAAACAGCCATTATAATTCGATGAAATGTTCTTCACACTTCTTCAAAATCAGTAAACACACATACAGGAATACATATATCATAAAAACCAGTTTAAAAAATGTGTACTAAAATAAATGGAAAGTGGATCCTTTTGACACATCTTTGCAAATTTAAACAAAGTTTTGAAAATATTTCCCCTATCACATGCAAACTGCATGCCCTTTTGCATGACAGAAATATTTATGTAACATATTTAACACAAAGAGTCATCCTTAAAGACAAAAAGAAGGGAGAAAGAAGCAATTTTTAATCATTACTGTAGAGATGAACTTTATTTTCAATATGATGCACACATTCATTGTTTATCAAGACTAAGCCCAAGTTTATTTTCCATACAGAGTAACCTAGTGTCCTAGCTATATACTTTATTCAGAAGAACAGCATCAAGAGGCACACACATAACATGTCAATTCCAACAATTACCTTAATGAAGGAACTGCAATCAGAACATAATACATGTCCAGTTCTTGCTGTTAAATGACAACAAAATTTTAAGTAACAATGAGGTGGCACTGTCAACTCACATGAACAGGCATGTTGAAGTAGTCAGATTTGAATTGATCAGCCATTTCTCCAAATTGCTGTAGCGTGTACTCCCGCTGTGCTTGCTCAAAACCAAAAGCTTCCATAGGTTTGCTCACCTCTTCAGCAACACATTTTGGGCACCTCCAATCACCTATTACAATTGACAGAACACAAAATGCATGAATTCAAGCATCATAAACTGTCAAGACATACCTTCGCACCAATCTTCACTCTGGCTAAGAAATTAACAAATTACTTCCATTAAAAAGAAAATCTGTAAGATATTCACTGGGTTTAATACCCAATTTAACATTCATAATTGCAACAGTTCAAGAGTCACTGAAAATGAGATGCAAATATATTGTAACATGATAGGCAAAAGCCAGAATATTGGAATGAATAAAAGCAGCTGTTGCAATGCAACAGCATGGTAAACACGTTTCTGAAACAATAAATAAACACACAACAACAGAGGAACTGTTGGAAGCAATGTTTTCTGTGCAGTCCATTCCAAAGCTATAAAGAAAAGACAACAGGAAAAGTTAGTCTGCGCTGGGCTGGGCTGAACTGGAATGAGTTGGAAGTTGGAGCTCAGAGTCGGAGGTTAACAGTCAATCTTGAGTTGCACTGTTAGCAGCCACTACCTGGCAACAACCAGTGGACAAACTGTGAACTGCTGTAGTTGTAGTGACCTTGAGTGGAAATCAGTGAGACTGTAATAGTTCTATGTAGTTTCACGTTATAAATGTTCAATAAATGCAGTTACCAATCCAAACCTCGATGTCTAGTCACTAACATTTGATAACTGGTGTCAAAAGCAGGGCTGGATTATTGGATTGAAGACTGAATTTGATAGTTACATTATCACACTACAAAAATGGAGCAAATTATGGAATGCCTGTTGGCCAAAACGAAAGAAATCTCAGAGTTTGTGAAAGCCAGTCTAGAGAAGTTTAAGGTCCATTAAAAAAGGACAGAGATCAAAATGCAAGGCCAATCAGGAAAGATTGACCAATACCTGGCAATGAACAAAAGAAACAAAGGAAAAGGGGATGCTTCCACCACTCCCACCTCTTTGTTACAAATTCATCATGCCAGAAAACCGCAACTATTACACTCTGAACCCTGAGGGATAAACAGGAGACAAGTCATATCTTGTGACTACTGATGCAAGAGCATGAGTGACACGTGTCTATGCCATACATCCTGCAGATCCTCCCCATCCTGAAGGAAGCATCTGTAAAGCCAGCTTTGGGGCAGCACCCACTGATTGTTTGGGTGTTCGCTGCCAATATCACCGATGAGTCATCCTGGGACTGGATGTTTTGCATGCCCATGATGCATCCCGGGGTACAAGGTGTCATATGCTACAACTGGGTAACGAGGAAGTTCCACTGCAGTGCCCTGGGTCATGACTATGTTTAAACCACCTCCTTATAAAAAGCAACAGCAAAGAAGCAGCAGCTCACTGTGATAAGGTTAATGATGATGTGGGTGGAAGGAACCCTGCGTATGGTGGATACCCTCACAGGGATGGGTTCCAGGATTGCTTATAAAGCTAAAACTAGAATGCTGGTCCTCTACAGAGGTGCCTGCAACAATGACTGCAGACTGCTGGTCAAAGAAGCACCCACAAAAGGACTACTGCACTTCAGACAAGCAGCCCTAAGGAGGGAGTAGCCGGGGAAGAGCAGTGACAGACCCAACCAATAATGAATAAAGACAGTTCACCAGAGATCAGATGCATGACAATGAAGTGCCTGCCATTCATGAGGACAAACACAGATATCATAAAAACAAACAAAACTCCATGGCCTGTAGTCCACAAGCAAACTACACCAACCAAGTGAGTGTGCTTGTTGGCGAAGTTAGTGCCAACTTTAGCAGATAGAGGGTGTCGTCTGGTCAGCACAACGGTTCCCCACTGCTTTTAATCTTGGTTTTCTAGACCCAAGCCACCATTTCCTTGAAACTGCTCCTCAATTATCCTCACAAGGCTGAGTGGACCCCATTCCAGACCCACTACTTCTCAGAAAATCTGGTAGGACTGGGGATCAAATCCAAGACCTCTGGATCTGTAGCCAGGAGCTCTGACCACTAGACCACAGAGAAAGAAAAGGCAACACACCTGTAGGCTACTCAGAATGAGCAGCCTTAATGAGGCAGCAATGTAACATGATGGCCGAAAGCTGGAATACTTGAACAAACGGAGACAATCACTGCTATGCAATGGGGCAGTAAACATGTTCCCACAGTGAGAAACAAACATGCAACAATACAGAACTGTTGGAAGCAACATTTTCTACATAGTCCATGCCGAGGCTATATAGTGAGGACAATGGGAAAAATGAGTTTGGACAGGACTCACGTGAGTTGGAGGTCAGAGTCAAGTGGTTAGGAGTCAGTTTCGAGTTGCACTGTTAGCAACCACTATCTAGCAACAACTAGAGGACAAACAGAAGACTTCATGCATGCTGTAGTTGTAATGATCTACAGAAGGTACATTAGTAACACTGTTATAGTTCTCTGTAGTTACAATTTATATGCATTCAATAAACCTAATTATCAAACCAACACATGACAATATAACTGATAAAACTACGATGTTTTCGTTATGTTTCTGGAGCTGCAGGCACCTATCCAGCTCTGAAGTCATCAAGACATCAAAATAACGAACAAAATACTGACCCATTTTCAAGATACGACATGAACAGCATACCACTGGAGACCACCCTACCCACTTTGGTATCTGAAATACCAACAAGGTGGTCATGCAGATGCGTTTGGTGAAAACACTGGCACCATTAGATTCAAAAGGATTCCGATGATGGTGTATAATACTCAGAATTACTGAATATTTGGAATCTGTCCAGTGTCCGGTATTCTAGAGACTAGAAAACACGTTTCAGAAACTGGATCTGTTTCCGTCTTCAGCTGTAGTGAATCTGACAGGGGCTGTCCAGTTTTTGAGGTTAGCGCTTTCTAAGGTACCCAGCGGAGTAGGTGTCTTCCCCCTGCCCCCCACCCAAGGATCGAAACAGATCCAGAATCCAAAATGTTGTTTTTTTCTAGTTCCTGGAATACTGAACCATGGACAAAGTCCAAAAACCCAGTGATTCTGACTAGCACCATTCCATGTAAGGTAACAGGTCTATAAGAGATACGAAACTTTCTTTAGGACAAATATTTTAAAAACACACTACAACTTAAAAGTTTTGGTAATGTGAAGAGCATCAACCTTTCTCATGGTTCAGAGTCCACATTTCACTGTTGACTGCAGGTCTCACGATCACCATCACTGTAGATAACAGAACCAACCGAACCCAGCACCTGCTCAAGTTACAGAATGCACCACACACAACTGCCAGACATCCATTTAGCCTAGCCAGCTGTCTTCATATTATTTTAACCCACAATACATATTATACTGAACCAAATCTCCAAGGTCTGCATGTCTGCCATTTGTTTTAATTGTTGACATATATTCATTACAATGTTTTTAGAAACATGTTGTGGCATACAGACCCAATGCTTAGCGGTGACTCGGTAAACAGCAGCCATTGCTAGGTAACGCCCACAACATACATGCACACAACAACAGAATGACAGCATTATGCAACTCATTTCTAAGCAATGGTTTGGTACACACGTTTCCAGATCAATGGACACCAAGGCAACAATAGAAGAACAGTGTTTTCTATGTGGTCTGTGACAAGATGCTATGAGGAGGATAGTCTGAAGCAATTAGTTAGTTACTGGTTAGAGCTGTCAGCAGTTCAGTTGAGTAAACTGACATGAAGTAGCTCAGCTGTCAGTTCAGTCTATAGTCTGTCTGTGTAGAGAAGACTAACAGGTTGATGAAATGACTGCGAGCCTGGAACCCAGTTAGTTGTCAGTTAACAAGAATTCTGAATGGGCAGCTGTCACAAGAGAACCTAAGTGCGGGAAGCTGAAGAATCTCCCTCAGTAGAAGCTGTTGCCAGGAAATGACTAGTGGAAACTCTAATAGGCTGAGGACACTTGTCTGTATGTGTCAGTGATCTGTAAAGTGTAGGTCTGAGTGGTGTATACAAGTGGTCAATAAACTCAACTCATCCATCCATACCCCATCTTTTGTCACACCCCTAAATATATGACAATAAGAATCATTATTCTTGCATCTGTGTGGAGTCTCTTCAACAGCACCTGGAAAATGGAAGCTTACAGGCTGGCAACTCCTTTCTCTTGTGGTTGTAGTCTGACATGGCACTTCGCTATGCAGGCTTCCCAGAAACCAAGGATATCTGAACTGTTTCAAGCGTCACAACATCCATTTCTAACATCTCATTGCCCTACAGGTGCCCCCACCTCAGAAATGGATTCTGCGACCTAGCCAAGGAAGGTAGAAACCAGAAAGGTCAGCAAACTGACCACACCTGAGACAGTATATGAACAACATATTCCTAGTATGTAGGAACTATGCTACCGTCAACACAACAAATATTTCAGTTATTACATTTAGATCTTTATTTTACTGCAAACTGAAATATTTGTAGCATAGTTCCTATATATTACATATTGTCTGAGACACACAACAGGATGCAACCTATGAAAATAACACATTTCTAATACTGCTGCCTAAAAATTGTCAATTCTGGCTAACTTATACCGTATCTGTCTAAACCTGAAAGTTTATCACCATCTCCAAACCTGATATTAACAAACAATAAAAGAGATTCTAACACCAGTGTTACCTAGTGCCTTGTCTACCTTAAACTATTTCATTTATATCTCACCATGTTCTTTTCATGAAAGATAGACAGTCAATGCACATGTCTCTATCTCCACACATGAATACAGAATGAAATTATAGTTGCAAAAGTTGCATACACTTCAGGAAACAAGCTAAATAGTCACCAAAAAGACATAGGAATTAATCTTACTATAATAAATAATAACAAAAACTAATCTATACACCTTTCGGAATTTCCAGAAGAGGAGGCATGAGACAGAATGTATGATAACTGTCATCGCAGCCATCACACAGCAACATGGATTCCTCGACATCACCACGCCCACAATTGTGGCACACATACTTTGCAAGCTGTAACAGAGAAACAGAACATGTCTGTGTTAAGTGTACATTACATATAAAGAACTTCATTCTCCAGTTCACCCACAGTGGGTAAATAAGAATCTATCCCGTTTCTTAATAATCTACTGAACAACAAGGCAGCTTCTTTTGTAAATACCACTGAATGGAATATGAAAATGGTTTATAAATAGTAAGTCAGAAGGAGTACTGAAGAAAGCAGTTGCAGTCTCCTGGAAAGTATTTATTCACAGGGACTATGGACCAAAGCACTCTTTCCTTGAAGCTACGTGGCCAGAATGCAAAGCAGTCTCCCACTTCTGAGCTCCACTGCCATACTGCATTCATGCTGATGCTGTAAATAGAGGGAATGATATAGCGCCAAGCTGTAGGATGATTAGCAAATAATGAATTGGAAAGGACGGAGAAAACAGATGTGACCTAATTTGAGGTACTAAACCAGAATTCACTTAGAGGACGGAGGAATATGACAGAATAGCTGCTCTCTTGGTGAAGATTTTAATCTAGAATTTCCCAAATACAGCGCGGTGTGCTAACCACTCGGCGGTGATGTTCAGTTTCAAGACACACACATAAGCCCAAGGACCACCCAATTCTGCACATAAAAGGTGCAAATGGACTTGCACAAAGTGATACAGTAACTAGCTCTAATCCCTCGTGCAGCATCAAAAGCACAGATACAATTTTTGTAACCCAAAAAGGAATGAATTAACACAAAACCATGGTCTGAATAGCTATACAACATACTCAAGACAAAATTTTTATATTATGACTGTCTTAAATTCCTTACATGCTGCTCCCCGTATCAAATGGTTATCAAAAGTAAGGCCAAGCAGGCAAAATGTGCTAGTAAGTCAGATAACATTCTGATGCTGTGAAGAACACTGCACCTTTACAGCAGGTAACTTAAAGCTATTAATACAAACTACAGCTGTTTTAATGACTGCAACACAAAAAACAATGAAATCACTAATATGAAGGAATGAGCATACTTCCTTGCCAACATCAGTATGTCAATGCCCTCAATAAACAGAACAGAAAACTGCAGGATGCTTATGAACTGTATTCAAAGGTATTATTGTAGCATTTAACTATGGGGTATAATGAAATGTCTATAATATATTGATCCCAAGCTCAGACTCAAAATTGACATCTCCACAACAAGAAATTATTTATTTAACATTTATTGTTTGCATGTTGCAATTGTGTGTGTCTGTGCAGGCCTAGCATTCCAATATTTCCAATAAAAATACCATTACCCTCAAGTGCCAAATTAGCAGAACATTCAGATCCCATACTTCCAGATAATGAAGTGTATTCTCAGTCTACTCATCAATCCCTTCAGTAACTCAGACTACAGTGGCAAGTGCTACTATTATTAATGAATAATAAACCAGAAAATGTCCAAGGAAGCAATTAGCCTAATTTCAGTTACAATCCCAGAATTTGCCCAGAGGGACTGAGGAAAACAACACGATAACCAGGCTTTCGTTCAAGATTTTCACCCAGCACTTCTTGAATATGAAACAAGATTCTTTTTAACACTTCAGCACAACAATCAGTCCCACAACACAAAGCAGCAGCTCTAAGCACACCACAATGTCTGATCCCTGTTGCTCTGGTGTGATTGATATAAAGGGAACACACAGCTATATCAATTGCACTTTGACCTGGCAACAGTAATAACTGCAAACATGTATAGAAAATATGAAATCTAAGATTGTCACAGCAGTGAATATTAAAATTATGGCAATTTTGGATGAGATGTAGTAAGGTGAACATGCATCAATGTTTCAGAGAAACATGCTGCCTTTATCTTTGCTGTCAAAGTGAGCATAACCATGGACAACGCCCTCTCATATACACGTGAAGGATGAGTGTGTTCTTTCAACTTCAACCTGAAGATTGCAACAGGAAATTCCTCCAAAACACTGGTGTCTTATCATACTAAATGGCTTCACATCCAAGAAGATGAAACGCTTAAAGTTCAGCCAAGGTATACTCCCATCCAACACTGTATGATACACACACATATTCTCAATGCTCCACAGACGCATGCACAAAGTCAGTTAGTGTGATATGCTGTTTTAATGAATACCAGTGTAATGAAATATTCAGAAAAACATAATTTTCTCAATTTCATCAATTTACTATGTCTTCATTAAAACTGTTTCATTTAACAAGTGCCATTTCAATGCAAGTATCAGTTTAACATAATAAATTCCATCCCACTACAAAGAGAAAAAAGAATCAAAATAATGAGATTGATCAAGACAAAATCATTAAACACTTACTGACTCACTCACGGAGCTGAGCCCTTCTTGCAGAGCTGCCAAATCTGCAGCTACTCAGGAATTTCCCAGCATTTTATGGAACCCAAAGGTCCAATACCGTGTTCACAAGGGCCCTCCACCGGTCCCTCTCCTGAGCCAGATCAATCTATTCCAATCCATACCATCCCATCCTATCACTCTAAGATCCATTTTAATATTGTCCACCCACGAACGCCTTGGTCTTCCCCATAGTCTCTTTGCTTCTGGCTTTTCCACCAATATCTGACTTGAATTTCTCATCTCCCCCATCACTAAACACCACAACATACATTTTACAGAATCCACCATGGCACATGCAGGACACAGACAAAGACGGAAGAAAGAGAAAGAAGTTACAAAGGATCATGAATGTCTGCTTTCACAGAGAAGAAGAATGTATACACTGGTAACAGCCTTTGTGTGTCGTGGGAGAAAACACATGAACAACACCCTAAGATAAAAATTCATCCCCTGTTTGAAGAGCAACCCAAGGACACCAGCCAAGCAATACATTCCACCCCACTACCACAGAACATCACTTCAGGTGTGTTTACATTGGTTGTTTCCATGACTTTAGCTGCAGGACATAACTGAAAACAGAAACCATGTTTCTGCATTATCAATCAGCGAGCATTTTGATTCATCTGAAGTAGAAGATTCTCCTTCTCTCCAGTCTCTGTACTGCTGCATAACTGAATCACCCATGCAAACAGCCCCACTCTAAGCTCTCTCACTTATCATCAAAAGGATTATTTGTATATTTTATTCATTATCACAATTTCTGCACAACTGAGTCAACAGGACAGGCAGAAATGTAAATACCTAGCTTCATATGTTCAATGGGAAGGAACCTGAATCAGCCCATGTAAACGCATCTTCAGAGCTGAATATCTGCAGTGCAAGAAGGGTTGCCTGCAGCAGTGCAGCTGTGTGCTACCTATGGTCAGCAGTGAAGGGGGAGGAATGTGGCGAGGATTTTCAAATTTTGAGAACTGTGCTGCTGTAGATATGGCGCAATTATACACACAATTACATCACTGCACTGTAAGCAACAGTAGCATTCAACAGCAAGTCCTTTCTAAGCAGTTTCAATCCATGTTATATTTTGTTACTGTTCACTGTTATATCAAAGTTACAGTTCTTTGCTGTTATTCTGTTATCATTCACTGTTACTGTTATAGTTAGATTTCTTAGCTTTGCTTCTGTGTGCAGGGCACTGTGGAGGACAAAAAGAAAGGCACAAATAGTTTTCACTACATGAGAAGGAAAGAATTCTAAAAGAGATACACAGAGGAATGAACAAGTATGATGTTGTAAGAAAAGATTGAATCAGCTCATCAGAACTGTCCACATCTCTCAAGGGCAGAGGAAATTGAGAACAGCAATGATTCTGAGGCAAATGGCCTCAGTGGAAGAAATTCATACTGTCAACAGTGAAAAAGTACAGACACGCAGGTGGTTTACAGATACATGATCAGAGAACATTAAAGTGAATGGTCCCTAGATTTGGAGAATGTTACAGCATCTGCCATAAAGCAATCTGTGGTTGGGAAAGAATGTTGCACCTCCATGGGGGGAGAAGCAGCTGAAGGATATCATTAAACAGCACTCAGGAAATGACGTGCACAGTGAACTGGCAGTAACAATTCGAAGGAAAGAAGATTACTGACCTGTTGGGTAAAAATTTGATTGGCACCAGCAAATTGCTCTCATTGGTTATCAGAAAGTATCCAAGTCCTTCATATTTCAAGAATGTGTATAACTGACCTTGCAAATATCACTATAATGCAAAGGCTTGGTGAAAGGGTGAAGTTTCTCATGAGTGGATTTTGTCCTTGGAATTTGAATGAAAGCAGAGAACCAGAAAATTCTACTTCTAATCAACAACTGTTCAGTACATAAGAAGGTGCCAAGGCGTGTTGGCAACATCTAAGTTGTCTTCCTCCTACCTAAATGTACTTCAATTTTAAACTCTCTGAATCAGGGGACAATCCATGCCACAAAAAGGCAGTACATGTCATAGTTAGTGCAGCAAATATTGGCTATCATTTCAGTGGGCTGTGACACAAACATAAAATTTCTGGAGGCAATTCAGATGTTCTGTACAGCTCTGAGAACATTAAGTGTGGTTACAATTGTGAACAGCTTTCACAAAGCAAAACTGTACCCCAAGACTGAGGGTGGAGCGATGCCAATATAGTGAATAACTGGCAATACCTATGCCAAAACCCAGATGATGAGGTGACACTGGAAGCCTTCATTGCTGTGAATAGTACGCCACTGTTGTTCAATGGCTCATAGAGGAAAAAGGTATCAGAAATATTGATGAAAATAAAATGGGGCATCTGGTGACATGATATCAGAGAGTGGGGAAGGAGACAACACTGTGCAAAGTCTCTGAGACTCCATAATGACCAAGAAAGACATTCCAGACCATACGCTGCAGAGGAGTGGAATTCTCCACAAATTTACAGACAAATCACTATGAAAGCCTATTCTTTAGAAAAAATAATGGACTTTTTTAAAAAGCAAGCACAGTAAGTTTATATCTTCGTTTTTTTGGGGGGGTGGGGGCATGTACCTAACTTTCATTGACAGCTTACTATGTTTCAATACAATAAATAAAATTTCATTATAATAAATATAATTTCATTGCCCACAGTTTCATTATGCTGACATTTCGCTGCTTCCTTAATAAAACATACAGACTTACAGGATCAAATTCATAGCTGACTTTCTTTCCTCTTGTTTTATTTTTAGGCTTCTCCTCTTTTCGTGTCTGATATCCAGCCATCTTTGGACCAGCTCCATAAAACTGAAGCCTCCTCAGCTCCTTATTCTCATTACCATCCGAGGTATCGAGCCCAACCTACATGTTCAATGAATTACTGTAAGTTCTGCCTCAATTAAAGCAATGAAATTCATGGTAACAAGGCCACAATTTGAACAAAACATACCGACTAACCTTCATCTGAACAACTTCAAGCAGTTTAGATATTTTCTTGCATGTACAATCAGCATATGAATATAACCCACAACAAAAAAATAACATTAATTCAGCAAACAATACATTTTCTGTTATTCTATAATTCTGAAGAAGAAAGATGGATTTTATGAACCCCGATACTGGCATAGTAAGTATTAAACTTATCATGAGATTTAAATTATTATACAACTTTCCAAAATTAATACCTATAATACCCAGAGCAAGACATTAACTGATGTTAGGGTCAAACATGGGGAAAAAATTACCTATACATAATGTGAACACAAGAAAAGGGGCACTTTCAAATATGCAATGAACCAAAACTATCAAGATGTTTTAGTTTAGAACTGTTAAATAAAATATTACTTTTTCTTTATTCCTTGTATAAAGATTTCAACAACACACAATTTGAATTTAATGTTTCAATGTAGAATACAGACCATCATATTCTCCAATCAGCCCTTCAGGAATAGCTCAGAAACACAAAATACTGTGACTTTCAATAGACTGCCTGTGTGTCTTTATGACAGCATTTACGGCTACGAAAAGCTATTACTCATACCTGAAGTTACATATGGCCATGTACAAACATTAACTGAAAAATAAAGCCATCAAATGAACAGCAAATTAAAACTACAGATAAATATGTTGGAAACTGTGATCAATAGATTTGTTTGTATGATCTCTTATACAAAATGACAGGAAACAAAATTTACTGCAACTAGTAAATGAACACATTTAGTCTGCTTGACCAGAACCATTTTGAGCTTTGTTTAACTAAAAGTCAACTCTATGTTACACATATAGCCAAAAAAAAATATATATATATCTATATATAAAGGATTACCGGATTATCAGAATCAGAAGCATCACCAGGGCCATATCGTTTGGACCTCCTGCTGTACTTTTCATGTGGTGGCTTGATTGCCTGCCTTGAAGGAATGCCATGAGGCTTGTAATCCTGGTCTCTCTTCTCATTTTCATCATGCTCTGGTTCCATTTTCTGTTCAACAAATTTAAGTGATACTATATATCTGCCAAATGTCAATTCCACTACCCAGCATATAACATTCATTAATTCTAGAGCTAATAAAATGGACTTAATCACAGAGAACCAACTTTCCCAGATGGCTGGTTCTGATAATTCAATGGTGGTCTCAGTATTGATACTATATAGCATGGGATGATGGGATTTCTGATGAATGACGAACTGCAAAGGATCTGGAAGGAAGCAGTCAGCCTGACCTACCATCCCAGCACTTGCATGGATGGACTCAGGAAACAACAAAAACATCAGTCAGGATAACAAGCATTCTGGCTAAGATTTGAACCAGGCAACTACCAAATACAACTCTAGAGAATTACCTTTAGACAAACTTGTTCTCAACTGGGTTTCACTTGCCTAAGGAAGGTATTTTCAACCTTGGTTAAAGGATTACATACCTGTATCTTGCTTCTAGATTTATAAATTAACTTACAGTGAACACTTCTAACATGATAATGACAGCCTTTAAACACAAACATATCTGCGGTTTTTGACACTAGCATATTCTCCCACCCCGAAGCCTCACATTCAGTCCCTGGTGACTTCCTGTGAGATTTGTAATGACTGAAGGGGCACTGGAGTAGGATTTGCTTCAACTGTCTTCACTTTTCTTCTCATCAGCAACATTCAACCACTGGCCCCTGAGGTGTGGGATAACCCTAACCAGGCAGCACACTATCACATCTTCACTCTCTAAGCTGGCAAGTGGTTGGCTGCAGAGTGCAGAAGTTACTTAGCACAATTTCCCATCAAGAAGCTGTGTACATGATATTTTAAACATGCAGTACTGTATTTATTCAGAAGGAGACTGGAAAGAAATGTTAATTTAATACGCTAATAGTTCTTCACTGGTTCATTATGATGAGTCTTGCTATTGAAAAATCTGCTATTCAGCCAGTGCTCAACAAAATTAATTTGGTGTCTGGAATATGATCTGCTTGCTTTGGCACTTCCTACAGCCTATACAGTTATTACAAATACGAGGATAAGTCAATAAGTAAGTTACAAATGGATATAGAACTTAAATAAATAAGAGTACTGATTTGAAAAATGCTTTTATTTCTCATCATAACCTCCCTGTACATTGAGGCACCTGTCCCATCCCTTCAAAAGCCCCTGAAAACAAGTAGCATAAAATTCTTTGGGCTGCTGTCATAACCAGGTGCGACTTCAGTTTCTACAGCTTCTTCATCAGTAAAATGTTCAGCCAAAAGATGATGTTCAAGAGGGCCGAACAAATGGAAGTCGCTTGGAGCAAGGTCAGGGCTATAGGGAGGATGCTCGAGGACTTCCCACTTGAAATTTCAAAGCATCTCATTTGTCTTGTTGGCAGTATGGGGATGCGCATTGTCATGCAAGAGCAACACACCTTTGGTGAGGAGTCCTGGTTGCTCCCGTTGAATGGCCTTACGAAGTTTTCTGAGGATGTTACAGTAGAGGTCACCATTTATGGTTTGTCCTTGAGGCTGGAATGCAGTGAGCAGTTTGCCTTCGTGATCCCAGTCACCGCCTGGTTCTGACAGTAGCCCAAAGAATTTTATGCTGCTGGTTTTCAAGGGCTTGTGAAATGATGGGACAAGTGCCTCAATGTACAGGGAGATTATGTTGAGAAATAAAAGCATTTTTCAAATCAGTAGCACTCTTATTTGTTTAAGTTCTATATCCATTTGTAACTTACTTATTGACTTACCTACATACTTAGCGGTCTCCGTAGTCTAGGGGTAACGTTCCCACCTTGTGACTCAAGGTACGCGGGTTCAAACCCGGGGGAGGTCATGGAATTTTTAAGGGCGGAAAAATTCAGGGAACAAGTCCTCCGGGAGGGACTTTAAGCCATGGGTCCCGTGTCATAGCTTTATGGCACGTAAAAGAACCTCATGTCCTAAGGGGACCACTGAGCCAAATTCAGGACACATCCCACCCAACAGTAGTCTCTAACGCCTCTGGTAGATGGGGGAAGCATCGAGATACTGCTGAGTCAGTAGAAGCCAAACTCGCTGGCTGAGTCATGACTGATGGCACGCACCAGTACCGGTAGGGAATAGAGACTGGTAGAATATCATAGGGGGACGCACAATGGACCAACAGTTGGTCTAAGTGCATGGGGAAACCCACCCTCTCCAATACAATACAATACAATACAATACAATACAATAATACCTACGTACTTTCAAACATTACAGGCTGTCATTCATCTCATTAATTATTTCACCGGTGTTCCTAATGAGACAAAATTAACTGAACTAACTGAACTCGGTATCTGACCCAAAGGTTAAAGAGTCCTTCTCTAGAAGCTAACAGCCATTCAGTTAATCAAGAAATTCACCAACTTTAATGGAATCTAAAAGTACTTTGTTCACAACAGTCTGTCTCTTGACTCCATTCTCAGTCCAACGAATCCAGTTCACATTCGTACACCCAATTTCTTTAAGACCCATTCCGAAGCATCCTAACATCCATGTTTAGACCTCCAAAATGGTCCTGTCCCATCATGTTTTCAGATCAAAATTTTGTATACATTTCTCATCTCTCCATTCTGCTACATACTCCACTCATTCCATCCACCTTTCTTTGATTACGCTTACAGAATGTTCTGAAAAGTACAACAGGATCTGAACCAGATTTATAGCACAGAAGTACACATTTTTAAGAAAAATGGTGCGTCATGCACACTTACACAATGGACAAAATGAAACAGGAGCTCAATCCAATGGATACTTAAAAACAGTCCAGAAGCATGAAGAGTAACCATTGTTATGCATGCTATTACAGATTCTGGTCTTCCACACTGTGACACCGTGTAGTCTTGGAGGTGGATACCAATGTTTCAAAGGAACATGCTGCCTCCATAACCAGGATCAAGTGATTTGGAGACAGGGTGGAAAAGAATATCATTACTAATAACTGAGGGGAAGGGAAGGAAACAGAGCACTATCCAGCCAACAGTATACAGACCTGTGCAAGTTCTTCCTCCAAAATGATAACATTCAAACAACTCCAAGCCTACAGAGTGTCACAGTTCAGATGATTACGGTCTGATTACACACTGCCATAAAGACCTGAAAATTCATCACTCAGGATTATTGGATTTTTTACTTTGTCCTTCTTCTGGTATTCTAATAAACATGACGTTTTGGAAACTGGATCTGTTTCCGTCCTCAGGTGAGGGGGTGGGATTTACTTAACTCTGATGGTTCTGTTAGAAAGAGCTAACCTCAAACATTGGGTTGACTTCAACCACTTCAGTGACTGAGGTTAGCTCTTTCTAACAGGCTCAACAGAGTAGGAGTCTCCCACACCATGGTCCGAGGGCAGAAATAGATCCAGTTTCTGAAATGTTGTGCTTATTATAATACCACATGATGGGCAAACTCCAAACACCCTGTAATCCCGAGAGTTATACACCATCAGAACCCTAAATAATCTATCTGAAAATATATTATGACATGTGGACCATTTTTAGGAGATGAACTGGCAAATACACTGCCACAGGGAGATCATGAAACATGGGTGCCATGGATATGAAAAGTGAAATCTATAAACACTTAAAAGACAGACTGCTGCTTCAGAATTCAGACATGGTTTCCAAGACAACGCATTCATGAAGAGCAGTAAGGGAACCCTTGGAGGTGGTGATCTCTATTCAGTTCTCTCGCAGTTATAAAAGGGAGTTCATTTCTGCATTCAATTCTGAGATTTTTTATAGTGCATTCATTAGACAGACATTGTTAAGCACATGTCCAATGTATGAGCTGTAATTGTAAAAATCCAGAACCCATTATTATTGGTCACACAACCCCATACACACAACAATATACTACACATGCCATTTAACAAGGCTGTGATCCACCTCAGAATATGTACAACATGTAACAAGATAAAAGGACTTGATCATGATTGACTGATAAGTAAGAAGTCTTGTCTATTTATGTACTAAGGCCATAGAGACTCAGGCAAAATGAAATCCTCAGGACAGGTCATCGTTCAGTTGCAATTCAGACTCAGCAAATGTGTAAATAAATGAAATTGAGTACTGTAGAGCTAAATCGGTTTAAGGACCATCTGTCTGGTCAGTCAAATTGTGTCTAGGCTTCACCAGGACAGGCATTCTTGGTTCTGAGTCCTATTGGACTCATGACCACATTTTCCTGCCTTAGAACTGTGAATGGGTTGTGAGACTGCTGGTGTCCATTTGGTTCACTTCTTACAAATTTCTGCTGGTCCTCTCCAGCGCAGTCAATCTTTGTTCCAAGTACCTCAGGACTCATGACCATTTTGTTCTGTCTCAGAACTATGGGAGTTGTGCAGTTCTCTTTATGTAATGTTGAAATGGAACAACTGTTGTGTGCATATTCACTGCTGTAGAAATGTGTTTTTAACAAACCACTGCACAGCAATGGATGTCTCCAGTCATCATGCAACAACATGCAGTTATATTGAAAATACGAGCAAGGAAGAACAGAGATTTCATCTCATTATAAAGAAGTTTTAGTTTAGAATTCAAGTACAGGAAAATAATTCCACAGAACATGGTCAATTTTGTGACAATCTTCTATCATTTAAGACACAATTTTTATGTTGACTTTGATGCAACCATTCCTGAGATATCAAAATTACTGTCAAAATATGCACAAAACATTTACATGCCAGAAAATATACTCCACCCCATATTCCTGTACACTGGGGGGTTTAAATCCATTAATAATCTTTAAAATAATTCTGTGATGAAAAACGTTAATTTTAACCAAATCTGAGGTTCTCATGGCAGTCACAAAAAAAAAACCTTCTGGGATGAAACCATGTAGTCCAGCAGAAGTTTATCAATATTTCAGAGGAACATACTGACTCCATCTTCAGGGTAAAAGAGTAAGCCAGGCAAACAACTCTGACTGCTGCTTGCTTGGCTTACTCCTCAACCCTGAAGACAGATTGGTATTCCTTCAACACGCTGTCAGCAT